CGCAACCCCGGGACGCAACGCCATATATTCAAGAATATTCCTTCTTTCCTAAGCATTCCATATTTTATATCCCAGACATTGGATAAAAATATACAATCGTAAATGCGAGGCGCCCAAGCGGTCTGTCATTTATGTTTTGAAATAGACATTTCCATGGGTCAAAGGTTCTCTTTTTGAAGGTTTTAGGAATCAAAGCACTATAAAAGGTGGGTTTTTCTTGAAAGTAGGTTTGGAGGGGCGAGATTTTGAGAAATCTGGCCCGGGCATTTTTTTATTTTATAAAAACCTGTTGCCTCGCTTACCTGTATATAAATAATACAACTGCCCCCCCCCCGAGCCCAGAGCGCATATCTTGCCTCCGCACCATGCGTTGCAAAATCACGAGAATAACCTGTGAGATTTTGCAGTGGAGGTCAATTTTGAAACAACAACCCCTCCCACGTACACATGGCTATGTCGCCTAGTTCAATAAGACGTGGAAGTCAGTGCTTTCAAACGAAATAACTGAACGTTTGAATTGAAAGACCGAACTTTTGTTTAATGACATTTTGGCGGCATTATTTATACAAAAATATACCCCGAGTTTCAATGGTCAATCCCTGATAGAATAAATATAGATGCGCGTATCTGTGCGACGTGAAAATCAAAACGGTCAGCAAAGAAAAGCGCGTCTCATGGTACGTAATATATTCGTGCTTCACATTCAAACTGCTCAGCTAAATACGTCCACGCAACCAAATAATTATTAACATTATTCGGGAGCGTTTACAAAATAATCAATAAGACATTGATAAAACCCAGAGTGTAAAAGGGTGTGCTATGTGATATGATATAGTGATTATTCTCGATCAAAATGCGATGGTCGCAATTGGTCATGGATTGTTGTTCTGAGTATGTTATTATGTTATAAATATGCATTATGTTATAAAGTCGTAAATGGTTGCAACGACGTTTTCTCAATCCGTATGACGATCACAAATAATATATTTACCAACGCCATTCTAAAGCAACAAATAAATACATGCAGATAATAAGACATTCATCTTCTGAAGAAGTTGTGTCACTAAAATGAATAAATAATTCAACAATTCAACAACAACAACAACAACAACAACAACAACAACAACAACAACAACAACAACAACAACAGCAGCAACAACAACTATCTTGATTTATATTTCGGCTTAATGGTGGTTGCCATGACATCTACTGATAAAGGTTAAATGATGAGGCCAGATGACAGGACTGTTTGAGATCAGTCGACACATTCTTATGAGCTTGCGATTTCAAGCTTATGCGGTACCTTGGTCGTAGTCCAGAACTAATGATGTATATTAATGTCAACTGTGGAATGTTATTGCAAGACCATTAGCGCCTATAAATATAAACTGACGTTGACACTATGATAGTGGTTTTCCTAATATAGTGACGATTAATAAATTGTATTATGATGTGTAAAACTTTCGTGTGATTAGCTGTTTGTTTAGAGGCAACGCCTGAAAGTCTCTTATACTCTATTGTAATTGGCTAATGGTTGACAAGTTAATACAGTGATTTGAAGCTGTCTCCAGAGGAGAGCTCAAGTCAGTCGAAGAATCGAAGGTGACACGAATTGAGCTTCTGTGTGTTTTTGTGAGTCCAACGTGGAGAACAATCGAATCTCGGTTACCTAAGTGAAAGGTTTCGAAACATCAACAATACCTATCACACAACAACAACAGCAGCAAAAAAAACAAAAAAAAAAACAAAAAAAAAAAAACAGTATTCATCATAATAAGTAATTCTTGACAATTTATGACTTTTGTGATAACAAAATGAAATAAATAAAAACATATTTTAATAGTAATTAGGGAGTGTTAAGGATCTCGATAATACATGACAATATTTGTATTCATTGGAACATTTTACACACATTTGCCTTATGTTCCTAAATAATGTCACAGTATTCTATTGCTACACCGATCATATGGTTCACTTAGGACGGCAATGACGTATGGAGTGTGATTGTACGTGTACTCATGACTCATCCAACAGTACGTGTAATGTCGCTATTGTTAAAGAATTAGGTAAGCTATGCAAATTTAATTTTCCTGGAAATAAATTTAAAAAAAACACTGTCTCATTCCTTTAAAAAAGGGTGAAAATACTATTGTTATCCGAATATGCATCATTAATGTATTGTGTGGTATAATTGCTAGACAAGTACACACAGACAGGTGTTGAGTATTAATATGACAGCTATTTGACCAAACTGGGAACATATCAGCATATGATGTTAAACCAAGGAACACAGGAACATATAGAACTATATAAGTGCATTGGTCATGGGACTAGTGCAATTTGTTATCTTTCAGCCCATGGTATTGCTAACTCTGATAAAAGAAGATCTGAATAGAAGTAAAGACTCATGACTTAAGCATACTTCCGGAGACGTGTACCTATTAGACCGGTATTGAAGATAAGCTCTCAGCTCATGTATACGGAGTAGCCTCGCACAGGTATCTCTCGTATTCATGTCACAATATATTGGCACTGTAGTGCGGCTTATTCTTTCAGTGGACTCGGACTTTCAACACCTTGTTATGGTCCCAGACTACATGTAACCACCGTATTTAAAGCAGACTAATAAGTTATACCACAGCGTAGAGTAGGGTGGGATACAAGTAATGGATTACAGATTATGTCTTTGTAAAGGTCGTGATATTTGTTTTCTTGTCTACGTGCACAAGGTACGTAATGCCTGGTACCAGCAGCTGTACTTCCTTAAAACTGGTATTCAACATACAGTCGTCGATTCAATGCACTCCATCATCACAATTACAAGCTGAAAACATAAATATCTCACCGATAGTAGAAATACGCCCAAATTGTAACCAACAATCAATAATATGCATTTAAATGAGTCGACTATATATTTTCACTAGCCATATTAAATCACTGATACCTGACAAAAAGCACGTTTGACGGTTAATGGTTGGATAACCCTTTTATTTCACTACTCATTCACTACGATTACGAAGTCCAAAGTTCGTCGTTTTGAAATGAGTTCATGTAGGTCTTTAATAATAGTGATGACAACTGTTTTATGTACTTCCAGTTAATCAGCATCTCTATTTACATTAAATCATATGTTCGTGTGCCATTCCTGCATTATTGCCAGAGCACCCCCCACCCCAGTTGGTGACGACGACGGTTCAAAAAATACGAAATTCCCCAAGATCCACCGCTCCCCCTTCGCCTCACTATTACAGGTTAGTGAGTGTCCAACTCCAAGTTCTTTCTCCACCTCAGTAACCAACTATTTCCCATCAATTTAGTACTCGGAAACATGACTCTTGTTCCTAATATGCATGACTTGTCAGTGACTTATTAGGGTGACTTATTAGGGTGACTTATTAGGGTGACTTATTAGCCATCAACCACTTCTATAACAAACCATCAAGGGTGCCAAGTGTGCATCACGGACAACTTGACACAGTTTTGTATCAACATCAAAGATATACTGTAACATTTGACCACACATCACTTCAGTAAATCATCAACACACACAATATATAATAATAACAGTGGGCTAAGTCATGACCCTTGGATACTATATGACGACGACTATATACTGAGGCTACAGATAAGGTGGGGGTATTTAGATAAGCAGTATGGATATATTTTCGAACACATAGCGTGGGAAACAATATATATGTTATTTCGAATAATACCAGAAATTATACATGAATTTAGCTACACGTGACATATAAATATCGAGAACAGAATATAAAACCATTCATCAGTTTGCATGCCAATTAATGGTTTTTATATTCGGTGCTTACATAACAATGACAAACTATTTTATCTTTACCGTGGTGGTGCAGACACTAGTATTTCTATCCATAGAATGATGAGTTACGTGTTTTATGCATAAAATCCAATCAATGCAATAAACTGCGTTTAATGCCTATATATGACTATATCATTCACACACAAAAACGAGTATCATTTAGACGGAAGTGAATCGAATATTATGCATTCGACTTTCTGTAAAATAAGTGTTATTTATTATAAACAGAATTAACTTTGAAGACGAATATACGCGCGTAAGATAGTATCGGTACAATTGAATATGAAATTGCAAACAATGTAGAACATATTTGCTGATCACGACATCACTTGAAGTAAAACACAGTGGTCCCATTTGGGTATTTAAAAAATATTGTAGCATCGACCTTCATCGATTTTGTAGGACGGTGGGAATTTATTCATATAGGTGCAATTAAATATACAACTACAATGATTTGGCTACCTTTTACAGGTCAATATCAAATATTTTTGCATAGCTGGAATGAGTAAATACATGGTTAATGTACCTGGCGTATCAAATACTAGTAATACAATATTCCATACTATTGTTTTTCAGTTATGAACCAGGCAATAGCGGTCACATGGTCATTCGATAATATTGTTATTGGCTTTCGCAGCCTATTTATTTTTTCTGACTGTTGAAGGCCTTTAATGTCGTTACATTTGGTACACTTACGTGAATGCAAACAATAAAATAAATTAAAAAAAAACAATAAAAAATACTTCATTGATAACAATAGACTGACTACATCGAAAAGGTGTGGTGGCGTAAGCGACATTGTCATTCAGAGCCTGATTTGCATTACTAAGGCCATTGGCGTCCTAACTTATTGTAGTTGCAGAAAATAATCTCGAGTTGTGAATTACTCATAAATCGAGATCTCCATGACAAAAAGATGCAGCACTGAATGCCCCGCAGTCAAAACATATATTTCCACTTATTATGGGACAAAGCTTCTATGGGTTTGGTATGTATAAAAAAAATATACCGATGTTGAAATTATTGATATGTTATATATCTGTTAAGTTGGGGGGGGGGGTTAACAATGACATAAACTCTGCACGAACTGTGTAGATTATTGTGAAAATGCGAAGCTCGGTCATTGCACTACAGTTATCCCATGGTACATTGCGATATCAAATATGGCCGTTAATACAGTTTGCTCATGTCACTGACCTGCGGTTCAACTAAAGCACCATTATCGCATTCTATGTCAAGAATCGACGCGCCATGTGGGTGACGAATATCATCACAATATACGTGTACCTAGTGAGCTTAACATCAGTAACAGGTAGGAGTGGTTCAATGCTAGTCTTTGATCCACGGTGTTGTCTAAGTGGGCAGCCTATGATTAAAAGGAAAATCGACCACCTGACAACTCCATGAATCTAGGACTATCACCAGCGAAACACATGCGAACTAATACACTGTAACATGCCGCTCGCCCCTTTTGAAAACCATTGAAGCTGCAACGAGTAATAGCTTATAACTGTCAGATTATTATTATTATTATTATTATTATTATTAGTAGTAGTAGTAGTAGTAGTAGTAGTAGTAGTAAAGTCTTAGTTTTGCTCAGTACCTTTCCACAATTTTTCACATCGATTTCGTAGAATGCACCGTGCGAACGGTTTCTTTTTAATTTCTGCCTGCTAATTCAGCAATTCCTTTGTGATGGTTCACTGCTTCTCGGGGCCTCTTGAAACAGTTAATTATAGCTGTCAAAGTCTGGCCGCCATTGGGGGTGGTTGTGCGAGACATTTCTCCTTTTAATGTATGATTTTTTATTTTCCGTTTTTTTTTATTTAATAGCTGCACTAGTATTCATTTTAATTCTTTGTGCTACGCTGACGTCACGATGAAAAAATGTGTATTGTGGCTAATTTCTTGCTTTCTGAAATATAAATAATAAATGTATGTGCATTTCTATGAAGAATGATGTCATTTCGTTTCCATTACATTATTTTATACAAGGGAAGCTGGGCAGTCACATTTTACTGCCGTCGACACTCAACTACCGAAGTGTACACCGGGGGGGGGGGGTCACTATATATGCTGTAACTACCCCATATGCGTTCCAAATTTAGCGGGAAAGCGGGGTGTTTTTCACCTTTTAAAGCGGGCCCGCGCGAGAAGCAAATAGGCCCCTTATAAACTGCTAATGTCTGCAATAGGCCCCCAGAAATAAACTCACAGGGCTGCTGCGCCCGCTGTAGGCCCCTCTTGCAACAACCACTACCATACACCGCCCGAGGCCCCGAATTGGCGGACCCATAGCCCCGACCAGGCCGCAAATGTCCACCTGAACTTTCCCACCGGGACATTCCCGCCATAACACACGTAATATAAATTAAACTGTATTCAGTGAAAATGGGTTTTATACGCACAATATTTACAAAATTTTGCTGAAAATAATATTTAAGCAATAAACCACCGCCGCGGCCGGAGACGAAACTTGAGCAGTATTTTTATTTATTTATTTGTAATTAGGAGCTGCAGTACAATTATTGGAAAAAGCACATACTATATAAATAAAAAGAAATTTTTGAACTTAAAGTAAATACAGGAAATAAATCTAATCTACACAATTAATCTCTTCTATAATTCATGACATCAATAAGAAATCTTTTCACAACTCCATCAATATATTTACCTTTCAGTCGTGTATTTAACACCCTAAAACATTTACCGAAAACAAGGGGATTTTAATTAGTAAACGGTTCGTTTCGCTAATTAAAGATAATCAGAAATCTTCAATTACGCGGCGAAACGAGGGTCTTACAGGTACAATAATCACAACTATCGGACGAAACGAGCAGTATTTTTACCTTCCAGTCGTGTATAAAACTTCATAAAGCAATTATTTATTCATAATAAAAATCCCGTTATTTTCGACAAATGTTTCATGGTGTTAAATACACGACGGAAAGGTATATACGGTTTCGTTTCGTTTCGTCACCCCCCCCCCGAGTCATCCACACTTTCGAAACTCCTTTCGCGCCTCGGCCTCATTCGCATTCAGCTCCTGCGTTTTTCTGGGTTTTCTACCCTGTATTCATGCCAAAGTCACTCGGAGCTGAACATAAAATTGCGTAATGGTATCTGATGGAATAAGAATCCTGACAAAATTGTGTGTATTGTGTTTTATACTATCAAATAAATGATCATATTCATACCCATGTCAATAGTTCTCATCTTTCTTCATCAAACAACGAATGACAACAGGAGTTGCATACACAGTAACTTGTTTGAGTTGATCACGCTCCACTTGAGTGCAAAAAGAAGAATCCTTGGCAATAGGGGGTAGGATGTTCTCAATATATGTCTGAAATAAGGGGTCTATTATTTTTTTTTTTAGCAAGAACGCACATGGTGTAAGGTTTTAATATTGAGTGACCCCCTGGGAGTGTACATCTCCAGCTGAGCGGAATATTCACTTTACCAACGTATTTCGACGACGAACATAGAATATAAACATAATATACATGTGTAAAGTAAATTATAGTAGAATGCATATAACTTCGAAAAAAACAATAACAGCTATACTTACAACTTTTGATTGATTTTCGTCGTGAAACAGTACGAGTTAGTGACCCATTGACCTAACCTATTCATCAACCACTATTGGCACTGTACAAATTCAGCATTCGTATTGCCAAATGGAATAGTTCACTATGGACATTTCTGCGCCGAATTCAGTACGTGTTCTTTATCAGTTCTTTTTTAGGCGAATGTTCCAAGAACATACAACACGCATTATAATCGTAACGTCGGTATAGGATTATTTTCATGCATGTGCATTTCATTATCGCGTATTCTTTTGAGAACGTATAGGGAAATGTTAACTTATTTAAATTATATAACACTAAATTATGATGAAGTACCTTAGTCTAATTTGTGACTTTTTTGCTGACACAACGAAGAACAAGTTCAAAGAATATTATGCCATACCAAGTTCTTAGGGTCAGTGTTAGTTAATGCATAATTTTAAAATATAAGCAGAATTTATAACCAAATTTTACTTTATTAAATTATATACAGTATTTATGCAAACGTGGAATCACGGTCCCTCTGATGTCCAGAAACATGAAGGTGATAATGTTACACTAGAATGTCAACTTGATGGCGAGGTAGCTGAAGGACTTGAACCGAGATGGGAGAGGAGATTACCCGGCGAAACAGTTCCAATTGTTATAGCCACTAAGCGTGATGGTTGTGATCTTGATAACTGTGAATATCTTATTGATAATGTGAGTACGGTAATGTTTTTCTGTTAACTGCTTTTTAATCTGTGTATTGTTGAATATCTTTGGAATTTCGACAGCCATTTCACACCCACCATAGCTGAATAAATTAGAGATACTCGTATGGGATACTTACATGAATTTTATCAACATATGTTTGATTACTAAATTTTGTATCTCGACGCCATTAAAAAATCATAAAACGTGATTGATAAGTTTGCTAAGAATGTTTTACTGTAATAAACCTGATGAATTTACAACGCAAACACATTAAAAAAGATATACCACGTCATATGTTTTCCGTTCATTTGGTCAGCGGAGATACGTAATGTAAATCATCATATAACACGACGCGACTCGACCAGCTATCTACCAAACGACGTGCCACTGTTTTCACAAACATGGTTAGTAACCGTTGCTAGTAATCGTGTTTGCATACTCATTGCAGATAAACTAGCTTAACATATTTCCAGAAGCCATGTTTCTACTCAGCAAATAATACAATCACCGGGTCGAATACCCTTCACATTCAAAAAATAGTTGTCTAAGCATCGTCATACGTGTGTATAGTATAAGCACGAACAGATTATTTGACATTCAAATAAACAGTAATTAACGCAATAAAATGTCCACACTGATTTTTATGAATGTATAGACCGAGTAGAAAACTAAAGATGCTGAATTGTTCGAGTTACGGACCTCGAGTTACGAATACGTTGAGTTACAGAAATGACCGCGCCCATATTTTTGAAACCACGCGCCCTTTTGTGAAATCACGCCCAAATTGTTACTCGATGTTCAGTTAACAGTTAACAGAAATTCGAGTTACGGGCAATATACATTTTGGTTTTTGTTGAACGTTCACATTCAGTAACTCGAACTTTGAATAACAGTTAAGCAAACTTCGATTTACGACCAACATGTGTTTTCGTTTTGTTTACCTTTTGTTTACCTTTATTTTGGAACTCGAACTTTAATCAAAAGTTATTCAAACTTTGAGTTGGTAATTCGATATTTAATTAACAGTTAATCAAAGTTCGAGTTACGGTAACGTAGATTTTTGTTATTGTTCAAACATCCACATAGCATCTTTCATTTTTGATTAGCGATAAGCCTGCTTGTTTCAACTTTTGGGCTTCATTCGTAACTCGGTGTTCGTAACTCGGTGTTCGTAACTCGGTGTTCGTAACTCGGTGTTCGTAACTCAATGTTTGTAACTCGGTGTTCGTAACTCGGTGTTCGTAACTCAATGTTTGTAACTCGGTGTTCGTAACTCGGTGTTCGTAACTCGGTGTTCGTAACTCGAACAATTCAGCATCTTAGAAAACAGCTTTTCCTAATTGTCCTAAATTTCGGGTTGTGTGTTGTTATACCGCACGCGTGTTACGTAACTCATTTTGTATAGAAGGGCGTATCATAGTACTACATATTGCATTCAACCACACATCACCTACTTAGCTAGCACACTTCACACTTCTCGTCAATCTGGAAATCGCTAGTTCTATTCCGGGGTACCAGTGCTCAACAAATTTCCTATTTTTAAATGGAAGGGGGATTATGGGAGAAAAAAAATCGTCCTGGAACACAGTCCGTTTCTAATAAACTGGTATTGTCGATAACAAAGAAACTAATAAACGGAGACTGTTTTGGACAAAAATGAGTCCTTTTCCAGAAAATACGGACAAAAGATACGAAACAAAAACTGTTCGATATTAAAGATTAGCGGTTATTACTATCATTTATAACCATGGCTATCGCAACACTTTGCATATCTCAAGTTGTAAATTTCCAGCTTCAGACATCTGTATTTCATGTTCTTAAATAAATGATTTACTGACTCAAGCTATATATTTCCAGGTATTGACGATATATTTTATGTCATTGCTCTACCCGCACTATAGATTTAAAGACTTAGCATTCTTGCGTTAGATGTTTTTTGTTTTGATATAATGATATCTGGCTCACGAATTCTCCACGCCACGCACAGTTATAGAAATTAACATCAGTGCATGGACGGTTAAATCTGGAAATTTACAGCGTGGACTGTGTAACCAAATTTGTTCTCTGAAGATAGGAATTCTCCAGTATTCTTGTTTCAGACCTATACACTAAATACTAGTATTATGCACATGAGGAACGGCCAGGGTCTAAGGATCTCCGAGCTTTATTTCTACAATATAACGTACGTCGGAGTATTAAGATTCATTATGCTACCGCCCTCTAGGATTACAATCACATAATAAATTCTTATTGAACTAATCACTGACACTTTCGTTGACACTAATAGTATATGATTCATTCAAACATATATCAACCACGACCCAAGAGAGTCACTTCCCGGAATCTATATGTCCATCTTTAAGTTATTAATGACGAACAGTTGCACGAAGAGTTATACTGTAATTTGATTAGGTTCTCACAGGGTCTACAACTCGCTTTAAACTACCGTTTAGATGAAATCTGCTGACGGCATATACTTCTATGTCAAAAAATGGCATCAACTTACGCTAATTGTAATTGTATTTACATAAAATAATCAAACGGCGTATGTTTATAGAGCGACAACACGCGTCATTTGAACTCATCAAAACACCATATAATTAATATTTTGTAGACCATCAACACGTATTATTTAGTATTGACTGATGTGAAGCTGGAAGACCAAGGCGAATACTGGTGCTCTGTATTGAATCTAGACCCGCAATATCTTAAGGCGAATTTGGGTGTGTGGGGTAAGTAAATAGTCTGTATATGCTATTTATTTGTTTTTGATTTCTGTGTATTTTATTAAACATATGCAAAAAATAATATTGAAATAAAGCATGTTTGTCCCAGAAGCCGGACTATATAGAGAGTCAAGTATATCTTGCCCATTTTTTCTTAGATATTAGTAGCTTGCATAGTTTATAATATGCCTCCAATAAACATGAAGTGTGTTTCCAGTGCACTGAATGTGTATACAAGACGCTGTTATTGTATATTGTAAACACAGGTTGGTTAGGGTGGCGTGGCATAGTACGGCGCAGTGTGCTGTAGTGTGGTGCGTTGGAGTGGCGTGACTTTGCACATATTATTTAAAGTCAAAGAAAAAAAAAACGTTCAATGGATTATAGTAATATACTACATATTTCGCACTGTGCAAGGAGAACATTATATAACATAAGTCACCTGTATATAGTGTTGGTTTTTTCACACACTATTTCTTGTGTTCTTCTGCATAATCACCCGTTAATGTGGAAAACCACATGATTTCAAATCAGGGACGCGCATTATTTCAGGATATATTTATATTGAGGAAAAATCTTCAAACGTTACATTTTTACTGCTACAGTTGGTGTCAAAAATTGCCATAATCGGGTGATTCACCAAGACTATTCCAATCTTTGAGAGACTAGTATCAAACAAATCAGGTCTCAAGGTATTTCTTCCATCTGTTGTAGTTCTACCTTCTGAAGTGTCGATTGACCATGAGGAGACTGTAATTACACTAGAAATGCCCAAATCGTGTGAAAGCATAATAGTTAACAGGACATGTGTTGTTGATGATGTCGCCCCAGAAGCATCCCTAACGTGGACGTATAACATATCGTCTGATGTACGATCAACAATAGAAGGCGAGCTGGACTATGACTTTGAGTCCGGTACCGTTGATGACATTTCACCAAGCGTAAATTACAACGTTGAGGTAGTAAGGCAGTCAAAGGAGACAAATGGTCGATATAAAAGCAAGAGCACACTTATAGTGACGTTCACAGCTGCCGGGGATGGAAAACTAGAAGAAAACTTGAGAATAGATGTCAAATGCAAATCGAAGCAAGTGGCTCTAGTTGGACCTGATGGTGAGAGACAAAGCAAACCAATACAAGTTTCGGTTGTTGAATGTAAGTTCTTCAAATACACTATTATACCAATTTGGCCATATCCCTCAAGTAGCAATGGATAGGCACTTCAAGAACTTCAAAATCTTAAACTGTGCAGAACAAAGTACATACGAGCTCCTCGTAGCACTATTTTTATTTTGGTGGTAATTTTAAATATAGGTATTGAACTACCATTTTGAAAGGTCAGAAAAAAATGCTTGTATAGTTAATATTTAATTTACAGTAACCCTTAGACATAAGATATTGACTCCACATGCAAGAAATGGTATAATTAATTATTTAAATGTTTTTTCCCAATTACTAATAATTGTTACTGTTTTGTTATAGCTGTAGATTCGGATAGTGGAGCAGGAAATAACGCCATCGTTGTAATCCTGGGTGTTCTTTTTGCCATTTCGTTAGCTGGTAATGTTGTAGGAATTATTTTATATAAACGTCTGCAGAATAGACCCTTTAAACATGTGAGTATATATCTATTTAATGAATAACTATCTTTCAGTCTAGAAGAACATATGTAGAGTGACGTATTGTTAGTTGCATCTCACGACAATGCATGCTAATATTATTACATACACAACTACTTTGAACAAGACAATTTATCTATATGTTGACAAATTCTGGACCAGCAGTATACAATCTGAAAAGTGATTGGTTTAACAAGTACATCTATCTCGTTGTAAGAAACGTGATTAGTAGTTTTAGATTTGTTCTATGAAACATTGAAATTGTCTTATACGCATGTGCACATTTTTGCTTTATCGTAATTTCGTTTCTGTCCACATTATGACATTTATTTATATTTGTTTATATTTATACTTCGTCCATATTTCATTTTTTAGCTTTGATATCCTTAATTATTTTATAAAAACTTGACATTTATAACGATTTTTGGCCAAATGAATATCTGTTTTTATTAGCTAAATTTCTTGATAAAAAATTGGGAAATTATTTTGTGAATGTTGATAAAAGTTGACTGTGGCACTTAGTGGGCTAATTGACAGTTGATTAATAGTTGAAGAACATATCTGCTTCCACAAAATTAAAACTTTGCCAACATAGTTTCACTTTCTTCTGTTGCAATTACAGGCTCCTGTACAACTTTAATTGTTCGAGGGAACTGTCCAATCGAGAATCTGCTTGGCACCTTCCTGCTCATTATCATACATGATGTTATACTCATCATTCGGGTTGAACAACTAGTCAGCAGGATTCATATCTCTTGGTCAAATCGTACACAGTATTTAAGTTTCAACCGTTTAAACTCATGTATGTAAGGCTTAAAATCTTATCCATAACACTCTGTCATGTGTAGATAATGTGTAGAATAGTCTATTATAATGTACTAGCTGGAAAATATCTGTTTTTGTTTATTATGTAGAAAATATCTTTTCTGATATTTTGCTGTATTCTGTGCAACATATCTAGTAACCTTTAGTTGAGCTAGTTTGCTTGTCTTGCCCGAATATGTAGTAGTGGTAGAAATTTACAAGCGATTATATTGTAAATATTAATCTAGTATTCATTTCACATTTACATTTTTTTTAGTTTTTTTGGCGAATTCACTAGGTGTAAATTTGTCAGTAAAACAATGAGATCCAACTAAAATACATGTTCATGTTGATTTAATTTTGGAGGATTTAATTTTATCAGTGAAAATAAAACCAACTGTAAATAATAAATTGAACACTTGTTTAGTAGAACCCCTGTTTATTTTGCTTTCAAATCTATCTGGCAAAACAAAGGCTTATTTGCCTAAAACGATTTGTTTTAGCAGCAATACAAACTATGTGCAATATATGAATATGTTTTCAAGGGCATAGAAATAGCATGCATATTTATTTATTTCAGACATGTTAACTATCGAATTGTAGATGTATGCAATTCACAAACTGATATAGTTAGGGAATATCCAAATATGATAGTGTAGGGTGTGATAGTTGTGGAGTTTTGCGAACTGCAATACATAATTATGTGTCGCATCTTTATTGTTATAATTTTATTTACACACGATGCATAAACCCAAAACACCTTAAATCTTTTACTCAAGATTCCGATTGATTGACCACACCTGATTCTTATTGTTACTTGTTTGGTATCTCACATACCATCACTAATATCGCTCAGAGTTTGGTCATGAAACCAATATGCTGTTTCGTTTCAATGGCGCTTAGCAGAAAATCAATATTTATAGATAATATATATATAAAGTATAATACAATTAAAATGCACTTTGAGAATGTAAACCTCTACGACAATCTCATAGTACAGTCACTCTATAGTCCAGTCATTCTAGCAAAAAAGGGGAGCCAACCCGTCACAAATTGCAACAGAAATAATTTCTTCACAGTGCTTTTCGAAAAGGTATCTAGAGTGACATACTAAAAGTCCAGGAAAATCTAGGCTTCCGAAATATACCTAATTTACATATATTCAAAATGGCTGTTTTGCACATTTTTACAACATAGAAATATAACTATTTGGACATATCTTTAATTCTAGATGAGGTATTTTAAAAATTCATGATGCTATGGTACTGTTTTGAGTCGGTGAAGGTATGAGAGTGCCACATGTGTTGATTGGGTAGATGAAAATTAGCATAAATCTAATATGGCCACGATAATATAATTATTTAATGTAACGTCTCTGCCGGCTTCTCTTCTATGTGGCATAAGTAATAAGTTTAAGATGCTAGAATACAATTTTAAACAGAATCGTACAGTACAGAAAAGATGTTTAAATGGTTTCCTGAGTAGACGGATGCTTCATCTGCATACATAATAGACCATTTAAACGTAAATTTTCAACTCTATAAACTATATTTTTGATTTAACAAACTGTATTAAATAGTTATAATTCTTTTCAAAAGTTTATTGTTTGATTAATGTAATTGCTTATCATCGTCGCTATCTTCATCAGATATCTGAACTACATTCGTGCATCCAGATCGTCGACATTGACCACAAACGGCAGAACATTCAATGTTCAAGAGAAATTCAGGTGCTGCCTCCTTGTCAGTCATGACGATCGGTTGTGGATCACGTCCTGGGATTTGCTTCCTGGTGAGAAATCCGATTTGTGTCTTTATTACGACTTCATTGTCTATAAACGCGACACTCCCGTCCGAGAAGGACAGGACCCCTAGTTCAGTCCGACGCCTACCTGAGTAGGAAGACTGTTTTCCACATCAAAAGTTTGAGTGGTGCTGATCAGAGAGGCTCAAAGGACAGTCTGCTTGAAGCGGCCGATGCAACTGATAATTGGTTGGTTCCCTTGTTAGGTAAACAGTCTCCTAATGGTAGGACAACCGGCTAGCCTCATCCCCAGAGAATCCCAATGGTGGGTGACAAGGCTGACCTATAGCCATTTCGTTCTAACAATGGACGAAAAGTCAGCTGTCTGGCCAACAAAGAAACGGCATGGATCTCCCTTCTACTACACCAATCAATGAACGCACATCATTTCGAAGCATAGGCTGTGTTGGTGGGATCCCTGTTTGTCATGGTCAGGACATTGGCAGCCCTCTCTGAGTGAGTCAACTGAGAGCCTTGATGCGTGTAAGTGCTACACTGCTGGGCTCAAAGGCAGTGCGCCGTCTGGTTGGAACAGCAGATCTGGAAGTCCAAAAGCACCCCTGGTGTTTCAACTAACATTTCCAACAGTAGTGGAAACTGGGGCGCCACCCACGTCAAAATGCAGATGCACTCCTGTCAAAGTTTCTCCAGTATCCGCTGAATAGCGGGAAGGGAGGAAAAGCGTACACATCCATGTAGGTCCATGGGGGTTGACAAAGTGTTACTGGCCAAGCTCCTGGAATCAGCAAGAGTGTCGTGTACGTCGGGAGCTTGGCGTTCCAAGGAAGGTGGTGTGCGGCTAGCTCCACATTGTATTCCGGGTACCAAAGAAGAATTTGCTCCACTAGGACTGACAATTATGGGGATCTGGTCCCCCCTCTTTGTAGTTATAGGAGACCACTGCTGTGTTGTCCGTGCGAAGCGAAGACTGTGGTCTCAAACTATATGTAGAAAGTGAGGTAGTGCTAAGCGCACTTCTTTCAGTTCGAGCCAGTTGATATGGCAGTCCTGAATCTAATGCAGGGGCCATATTTTCCATTGCACTTGTTCGTCCAATAGGTGCGCTCCCCAACATTTGAGGGAGGCAACCGTTTCCAGAGTCATAGCCATGGCGAGTGGGTCCAAGGGGACCCCCTGCCTGAGGTTGGCAATTGCCAACCACCAGGACAAGGCATCCCTTGTTTGGTCCGAGAGTGTTACTCGCCTCTGCAGTGCTTGTAAGAGAGCCCAGTGTTGCAACAAAAGTGCACTGTAATGGGCGGCTGTGTAACACGGCCTGGGAGAACTACCTTGTGAACTGCTGACATCATTCCGATGATCCGCATTAGTTCTCGGAGGAATGCAGAGGGAATACTGACTAGGCATTCGGCTAGGTCGTTCAGGCAACGGGCCTGTGGCGACCATACCAAGCCTGCCTCCGTGTCGAACTCCCTGGCCAGGAACACCAACTGTTGTGTTGGCTGAGGGTGGAACTTGCTCGATTTACTAGGAAGCACAGCTGGTCTAGAAAGTCTGGTGTTAGCCTTACTGTTTAACTAACCACTCCTTGTTGGGTTATGTTGCATGTGATGTGTCCCGACGCAGCAGTAGCACCACCTGTTTCCACACTCTGGTGAATACGTATGGAGCCATGCAAAACCTGAAGGGGAGCACCCCGATTACTTGGCTCAACTGAGCAAATCGAGGGTGTCACTTACTCACTGGGTGTATCGGTATGTGCGAGTGGTATCGCTCAAATCTAACAAAGCTAACCAGAAACAGAGCACGGAGAATAATATGGTGCTCGGCGTTTCCAGGAAGCTCATACTAATTTAGTCTGCTTAAGTCCAAACCGGGCACAGCCACCTGTAGTCTCAGTTGTAGTCTTTAGAGCCACCAATACTTGCGAGTAGAAGCCCGGACTTAGTGCCGGGTCCCCTATCCTGTGTATAGCGCCC